TTAAATAATTATTGTGGCAAAAGAAATGACACTATTGGAAAAGGGAATAAAAGAAAGTTAGACACTCTTACTAAATAAAGTTGGCAAATTATTAGCAATTGTATTATTCACTATTTAAAACAATTAGAACGCTTCAGAAACATGAATTATTAAGTTATAACTGAAATTAAAATATTTGTGGCTAGTTAAATACGTTCATTTATTAGTAGTAGAATGGCTAATCATTTAAATCAAACAATGTAGAAAGCATATAAATTCCTGAAGACATTATTTTTGTCTCAAATATTCATATTCGTACAGTTGACGCATCTTATACTCCATTACGCGTTTCGCCTGGTCGGACTACTTTAAGTGACGTCAGAATTCAGCCAGTCGGCCTTCTTTATTTCGGTGGTAACGGCTTATCACATTAAATACTAAAAATGTAATAAAACAATATAGTATTATTGCTGTAATATTCAAACTTTCCGACAGACCACCGGCGACTACTGAAAGGTTAAAATTTATGATTCAACATCTTCAACGGCTTTTATTTCCGAACCCCTGCAATTTATGGCAACATTACCTACCATATGGTGGCATTCTTCCAAGCTGTTCTATCGATTCTTATATTTATTAAGATTGAACTTGAATCATCCCATAAATCTGAAAATAGCTGCTAAAACTATAAATGCAATAAAACATAGAAATTTGAAACATGTTTTTTTTAGCTTCTTGCAGGAATGCAACAAGTTCCTCAATGGCACTGCATGCGATATAGAAAGTTTGAGTTACTCCGAAGATGTAGAAGTTACAAAGACAATGTGCGGTTTAAAAATAGCATCAAATGAAATTCGTTAACGTGCGTAACAGAGTTAATGGATCAGTCAAGTCCAGAATTTAAACTAGTCTTATTACGTAGGTCTTTCACGACTTGTATAAGTTTAATAAAAATATATACATTTGTAAGTAATTGAACAGGTACCACGTAATTAAAAATATTTTTGACAATATTGCTTTAAGAAACAATTACTTGATTAGCATATATTCTAAAATAAAAGTGTTACTGCCTTTTCGCTGTACAAATAATGTGGGTATATCTATCACTGATTTTAATTCAATACCTTTCCAGTTCGTACAACAGGTCACTGGCCTGGTCACTTAATTTAACAAATAAACAGTTTCTTTTATTTTAAAAATAAGATCTCCTAGCTTTAGTTGTTACAATGGCAATTATGAACAGAATAATTTTTTTATGATCAATATTATATACAGCGTCGTGGAACAAGAAGAAAACAAGTAACTTAACAAATAAACTCGCTCAAACAGGGGATAGATATTTTGACCGGGATGTCGACCGGTTGTTCCCTTTTCCCTTGATCTAAATAGGCCCGTTAAGTCCCCCATTACCTAAGCAGTGCCCTAACATAAACTTTCCCGAGATGACCATACGCACGACAACGAAAGGAGATAATCTCTAAGTGGTGATTTTGGTTTTATTCGAGGGGCATTGAATAAGAAAAATGTCTTCCTTATGTAAAATAATAAAATGAAAGGAAGTGGTTTGTCGTCATGTATTGCGTGTGAGAAAATTCTCATCAAATATGAGAAGTCGCTTATACAGGAAACCGGGGGTAGGGCGATCGTTTGCTCTCACGTCGGTGAGGTTTTAAAAACCGAATCAATCCCTTTATACTCGAATGATCCAGTTCAAGTTTACATTTATGATTTAGACATAGATTTTGATGGAAAATTAAGTTTTTTTTTTCTTTTAAGTATTCCCATGTGAACTATACACTCTGTTCTACAGAACAATAAGTAGTATTTGTGACTTGTGTGTTGGAGCCGGCACATTTCACCAGTTGTGTCAAATAAATCGGAAGCAAGTACATTCGGGTGGACTCTGATTCTGTCTTTATACTTTTCACTAAAGCGCTTCATACCACTTTTCATTCGATCGATTTACCAATCATATGGTAAGTTTTTCCGGTGTTTTGCTCTCCCAAATGGAAGGATTTTTTCCCTCAAAAACTGATGAAGGTTTTAACACTTAGTAAATTGTAATTTTTATACAACATGTTTTAATTGTGAATTGATGTTTGTAGTTTGTCTAAATTTTGAATCTGATGATGGCGCTGTTGTCTCGCCGAAACGTAATGAAATAAACAATGTTCAAAATTTTTACTTCACACTTTGACTGAGACCCAGATATTCAGAGATTCATGGTATTTCAGTAAATGGGAGCCCCATTTGGGCCCCATTAAATTGTTATTCTACGTTGTACCTTATTGTACCTTAACTACCACCTTATTGTGGTAGTTAATTCGAGACTTTTAACTACTTCTAAAGTTTTTCGATATTTAATTAAAGATTTTTAACTACTTCTAAAATTTTTCGATAGTTAATTTGAGACTTTTAGCTATTTCTAAAATTTTTCGGTAGTTAAGTCGATACTTTTAAATACTTCTAAAATTTTTCTATAGTTAATTAGAGACTTTTAAATACTTCTAACATTTTTCTATAGTTAATTAGAGACTTTTAAATACTTCTTTTCTGTTAAAATTGTTTTGGTGTTTAAA